TCTTTGTGGGTGTTCATGTGTTTGGGAGACCTGCTCTGGTCCAAACAAATCCAGAGCATTCAGGACCAGAATTGTGAAAAATTCAAAAATTGAAAATGGTATTGATAAAAACTTTGCATAATTGTAACTAATAACTATCCGTGAACATCCTGTCCAAATTTGGTGAATTTCTGATTCTGATTCCCAGAGATACATGTGATAAGGCTAGAGCTGTCCCTTTTGGAGAAGCCCTAATTTGACCTATTTTCGTTCTTTGGTAAGATGCATAAAACATCCAAAAAAAGTTATTTTTCAGTAAAATATTTGTATACAACAATCCGTTTCATGAACTAGACATGTTCAAGTTATGAAAAGATATGGTTGTGTTTTGTTCTACCTCGGGTAGGGGTCTCTCACAGAGAACACGACAGCTACTTTGTGTCTTATATTGAGTCATGTTAGTCAGATACAGACATGAAACTCTGGATTTCTCCATAATGAAGGCTGTCAGCGTTGTGTACCCGCGTGCTTGTGCTCGTGCATGAAGTGTACCGTGCCGAAGCACACCTCTCCCAAGTGTGCCAAAGTGCCTGAGCACGATACGGAGCGTCACACTGGTCAAACGAACTGGACTTTAGCTTTGAAGCGTGCTTGGGCACGGTACGGATGGCCAGTGAGACCGCGCCCTAACGCAGAAATCCTTTGTCTCTTGTCCTTTTAAAAAATGTAATACTCATCATGGTAGTTGTTTTATCATAGCCTTGTTATAGGCCTATACAGGTATTTGTTTTTACAAATTCTATGGCAAGTTTTCTGTGTTACTTATACAGCCTACTTTAGAAAGCACAATTGTATCTGTCTGACAACTTGGAGTGGCGGCAGTGATGCGGAGGAATCTTTCTGAAAAGCGGCCGCACCCTCCATTGGTTGTATAGCGCGATTGAAGTCCACTTTGCTTTTCTTTTTTCATGGTTAACCATGTACACGGAAAAAATGACGTCGTGTAACCTTTTACAATTTTTTGTAACTGTTCACACCCCTAATTCTAACACAACTCCAGCTCTACTTTACTACCACTGCAGCAAGAGAGAAAAAAAGGGGTTTGCTTTCACATTTTGTTTCCTGTAACTGGGGGGATTTCTGTAAATGCCCAGCTGATAAACATCATGCAAAGTTTGTCATAAGGATGCAGATAAAGATGGTTGACATGGTTACGGCCCTGGACTCCTGAAAACAAGATTGACTTTTACTACATTTTTCTAGAATCAAACTTCTGAAAGGGTCATTTTAAAGATGTGTGAGCACATGAAAATCTTGGACACGAATAAACGATTAAAAAAAGAAAACTAGAATAGATAAATAGACAGAATGAGATCAGAATAGAATCTACCACAAACACCTCCCTTCCTGTTGACCGTTGTCACTGAGCTGTGGTTGATGTTAGTTTCATGTTTTCACTTTGTTTTTAGTCACTGCTTCTTACTATTTAAACCGATAAATGAAAGCAGTCCAGCAGTTGAGCTGAGAGCAAGCAGCGCAAGATATCTCCTGTGGATCAAGAAACTACATTCAGGTATGAAATTCAGCATGTGAGGTTTTAAACAGAAATGTAAAGATGTGTGGTAAAGGTGCAGGGTGTTTCAGTGCTATTAGAAATTCTTGTGAATTTCTCTGACATCCTAATGATTAATATAATATGTTTTAATTTTATGTGCCTACATTATATGATATTATCTGATACTTCTCTGTCAGTTTGACACAATAACCACTGCAAGACTATTATTCAACTTGAGTTCTACTTAATCTCATACCCCCTCTTTTTATTTCTGACTTCTTTAGATCTGAAGATGTCAGGTGAGTAAACATCACTCAAGTTCATACTCATACATTAAAAATCTACAAAAAGTTATTCTCTAACTTCAGTGACCTATGAGGTGAAACTTACAGCTGTGTGAAGTTTATGTTTACTTGTGTATAATAAAATTAAAATGTCACATTTATAATTTTATTGTTTTAACAATGAATGGAGGAATTGTGCATTTTATGGGCTTTAAAAGAATAAATACTTTCCCTAAATGAGCAAATAATAAAGTGTACCTTTTCTTTCTTGCAGACTCTGACGATGAGAGTAAGTATCCTAAATCAACTTTCATCTTTTCTTTCACATTGTGTGTCGAGTTGATAAATTCATGTTTGTTGACCTCTCGAAAAGCATGAAGTAATAAAATCTAATAAGTGCTTCAAATATCTATGAGAATGATACGTTTACCTGTTAGTGCCTGAAGGTCAGACTAATACCTGGACACATCACTACCACTCGGTTCTACTAACGGTCTCTGTTGCCTAGCAACGGGAGATATTTCTAACCGCTCGGCGTGGATAAAATGCAGAAAGCTAACGGTATGCTCACAGCTTTTAAAGTCAACAATAACTAACTACAGTTAACAAAAAGTAACTACAAAGTTAAAGTTTGATACACAACATGAATATCTAGCTGAACAGAAATGCCATCGACCCGAAATCAACATTAAGATTTTCAGAAACAAATAAATCATACTTACTGTGGACCGCAGCGTGAGGAAGATTATAAAGTGAACTGGACCTGAGATAACAGCCAGTTGTATCCACAGTATCAACACCGTCAGGGTGTACTGTCTGTTTTTACAGTCTGTGGTCTGAAGAGAAATTTGACCATAGGGTTTGACAGCATCTTGTGGTCTTCTGAGGACGAAACACTTTGTGTTCAATCAAGTGTTTCTTCACTTCTCAGTTCCTCTTTGTTCAGCACAGCAGCGTCCGAGTCCTTAAATTGTCAAATACTTCAAACAGGGTAATCAATCAGAAGTAAGGCCCATTGGTAGGATTTGAAACGGTTTCCTAAAAATTATTTTTAGATGATACGTTTGATGTCGTTCTCATGATTACTCTAAAATAGTGATAGGCCTAAATAAAACATATGTTTGGTAGTGATAATTATTGAAACTGATGAGGCATTAAGCTACTTGTTAAAATGTTGTTTTAAATAGGCTACATTATTTACTATGTTAATACACATCTGTATAAATATCTTTAAAATAATAATAAATAAAAACACCTTAAACTAAATGAAACAGATGTGATTTCTGCTGGTCTGCTTCTATCCTCTAAATCTTGAATGTATGGATGCTGTATGGTTTTGGGATTTGTCTTTGATGTTGATGATTGTTGATGATTGTTGATGAAAGATGATTGTTATGGATGTGTTTTACAGTGCTACGTTTTGTATGTTTGACCTCTCCTGTCATCATAGTGCAAATCTATATATTTGGGCTTTGCCCTCCCCATGTTTCAAAAAATGATCACCTGAAGACCTCTGGACATGGATGTGGTGTTAGAGCAAGTGTGTGGGCATGTCTTCTTCTCTCTCTATCGCCCTGCACCTAGGCTACGTGATGTGCCTAGAACGAGCCCTTCACCACTACAATTTGGTGCAACATATTTTCCTCAGATATTAAAACTATTTCATTTTTTTGTATTTGTTCGGTACATGTTAAAACACACAACAGAAAAAAAAAACGATTGTTTATCCCAATTAAACAATCGTTTTATCCCAATTTATCCCATTCCATGTACAGAAAGGAGCAGCGAGAAGAATACATCTTACAAAATTATAGCCTTTTCTTAAAATCCCCTCCACTCACAGACTATTCTATTTTTTCTTACCACTGGTTACATCATTTAAAGTTTTACGTCAGATCACATGTTGTGTCTTTTTGTTTATAATCCATACAGTTGTGAAAAAGGATCTAAAGGTTGGCACACATGATCTTCCTAAAGGATATGTAACTGGTCCCTACCAAGCTGAAGGTGATGTGAAAAATGAAAATGGACAGGAGGATAGGTTGGTGCAGGAATGTTCCAGGTGAGAGAAGGCGATGCAGAGTTAAGAGGGCACAATGTCGGAATTGGAGCCGAAGTGTCCGAGGATAATGTCAGAGCCATGGCCAAAGCAGAAGTGATCAGTGTCTCAGCCTCTTCTGGTGATGGTGCTGCCACAGCTACACTCGGCCTGTCAGCAGACACTGGAGTTGGAATAGGAAAGTCGGGTGTAGAAGCAAAGTTCTTGGGAACTGGCTTCTCCATTGGGCGTAAAACAGGCTTTTCTCTGTTTGGTTCTGGGTTTGAATTGGATTTTTCAAAATGGTAGCTTTGAGCCAAACACAGCTCACTGTGATTGTTCCATTTGTCTTACAAGTAAATCTGTTGAATCTATTCAAGAGGATTTTCTTCCAAATGTAAACAGCTGAGATTTCTTTTCTTGATTATGTATCCTCCTACTTTTGATGGAGTCTTGATCGGTCACTTTGTAGTTTGTAACATCACAACTTCTCCATCATCCCAAACAAACACGCTGAGAACCGGCTCCTCCATCGCTCGTAAAACAGGTTTCCTCTGTTTGGTTCTGTGTTTGAAATGGATTTTGAAAAAAGTTGACTTTGTGACAAATACAGCTTTTTGTGATCTTTCCTTTTGTTTCAACAAAAAAATATGAGTCATGTATTCAAAGATTCATTCTTAATACAACTGTATCTCAGTTATTAAATACATTTAAACCTTTGATGCATTCAGATCCTTCTTTTGATATCTTAAATCTTATATCTTGGTGTTCTTTTTTAAGTTTTCTCTCTGTCATAGTTTATCTCTTTCTGCCATGTGGTGGCTGTGGTTCAACTTTCAAAGAAATAAATCAAGAAAAACCAAAGTGGATCATGAAACCCATCTGAGGTTTATTATAATCAGGTTTAGTTACAAAACAACCAAAGTGGAGTGCAGACAGTCCTGCAATGCTCTGAATGATATACAGTCTCATTTGTACACAATCTCAGTCACATTCTTACACAAACTTTATCAAATGTTTGTTGATCTATTACAGTGTTTATTTACTGTAAACAGCCTTAACAACCAGAAAGACACACACACACACACACACACACACACACACACACACACACACACACACACACACACACACAGCGTCTGTCTCAGGGCTGCATGCGAATGGCTCCGTCCAGTCTGATGACCTCTCCGTTAATCATGGGGTTTTCAGCCAGTGACGTCACCAGGTGAGCAAACTCAGCGGGGTCTCCCAGGCGCGAGGGGAAGGGCACCTGTCGGGCGAGAAAGGAGCGGACCTTCTCTGGAAGACCGGCCAGGAGGGGGTGGAGAACAGACCTGGAGGGAGAAAGAGACAGTCATTTAAACACAGAGCAGGCCACAGGTGATCACAGCTGGAGCCGAGGACAGTTTTGTTCCAGATGTGCCGTTTTAACTTCCTGTGACCGATCATTGAAAAGCCTGAAAATTAACTACTGTTCATCCACAGTGAGGAAACTGTAAAGAATGACAAAGCATCATGAACTAAAAGCCTTCATCCTTCATCTGCAGCTAGTGTTAAATAACAACAGTGACACCAAGTGGTGAGATTGTCAATTACAGCACAAGACATTTAAACAGCACTCTCTTAAAGATGGACGGATGAAACGATCTCAGCTGATGGAAAAACAAAAGCAGGAGTTTAACTCAAAGTCATCATACATTTCTAAGAGACGTGATCGATCACGCAGAGAACACACTCCAGACGCCAAACAGCCGGTGAAACCCTCCGCCCCTCCTCATCCTCCGAGCTATCCCGCCTTTCAAAACGAAACCATGACAACTGTATTTAACGGAGGACTTTACACCTCTTAGGGGCCAGAGACAATCCTCCTGTAAAAATCTGGACTTTCAGCACGTAGACTAACCAGGTGCTATGGTGACGACCCTGATGCCCATGGGTGCCAGATCTCGAGCGATGGGGAGAGTCATTCCAACGATGCCGCCTTTAGAAGCTGAATACGCCGCCTGGCCGACCTGGAGAGCAAACAAAGAAAAAGAATAGTTGATGAACAGCATGAAAACACATTTCTTTTGATGTGTGTGTGTGTGTGTTTTTATTTTATGACCTGTCCGTCAAAAGCTGCCACGCTGGCCGTGTTGATGATGCAAATCTGTGCAGCTCAAGGTGTCTGCCTCAATTGATTGGTGGGTTTTATTTTATTATCTTTATTTCTATCGGTGCAACGGAATCAAGTGCAACTCCAAATGAGCACTGATGACAAAATGATCGAGCTGAAAGGGACTTAAGTTAGCATCAAAGTTTTCTGTTGTTATTTTTTTCTTGCTTTATTTGCAGTGACAGGTGCAGTATACATGGAGAACTGAACAACTACTTTCCAATGCACTGCACCACAGCATTTATAGCTCATGCTAATTTCCAATGCCTGTCCCTGAAGAGGCTTTCAATATAAAACACATAACATGCATGATATATCTAAACACCCCCTCCCCTCCCACTAACACAACCCCTACACATGACTACATGGCTGGTTATTTTTCAGGAATTCTTTCATTGACATTCAGTGACATGTGTCCAAAACAACAGGAGTTTTAACATTGTGCACTACAAGATCCTCTTATTACACAAAACATAAACACATGATCTTACTGAATAAAACAAAACATTCAGCTGAGGGTCTTCCTCATCAAAAGATCAAAGTTTGTGGTTTAAAGGCAGAATGTGCAAACATTTTACACATAAATATAGCAGAAAGTATATCCTGTATAAATGTGTCTCTGAGTCATGACTGTCTACAATGAGTGAGAAGCTCGAGTCCCGCTGTCTGTGTTGTTGTCTGAGCCGTGTTTACATGGACGGGACGGCCGGCTCCTCCCCTTGTGATAAAAGTTGTTTGTGTGAGGGACTAGAGAGAAGAAGAAGAACATACTGTACTCTCTGCTTATTTGAATGTTACCTAAGCGTTTTAAGATCACAGTCATTCAGTATTAGTTTAATCTATTGTGTGGAAATGGCTACTTTCGCTCTTGGAACTTTTTGCGCTGTTTTTCTGTTACTTTGGACATTCTTTGTAACGGAGAGCAACGCACAGCTGAGTGAGGGCATTGTTTACACACGCGATCAGCTGATGGCGCTCTCCAAGGTGCTACTGCCCGGAGCTGTAATTCCGGAGGAGCTGAGGAGGCGACGCCGGGGTTGCAGAGCTGGAGCTAAGAGGAGAGCTAAGAAGAGAAAACATAAGCCTTCTGTACCAGCGGTGATTATGGGGAACGTGAGGTCTTTGGGCAATAAGACGGACGAACTCGACGCGCTTGTCCGGCACCAGTGGGAATACCGCCAGTGCAGTATTATGTGCTTCACGGAAACATGGCTGCACTCGGACATCCCGGACCACAGCGTGGCGGTACCCGGCTTCAGGACTTTTCGGGCTGACAGGGACGTTATTAAGAGCGGTAAGAAGAAAGGTGGAGGGATGGCACTGTATGTGAGTGAGAGATGGTGTAATCCTGGCCATGTTAGTGTGAAGGAACGTCTCTGCAGCCCGGACATTGAACTGTTAGCTGTTGGAATGCGCCCATATTACCTGCCCAGGGAATTCACGTGCGCCATTGTTATAGCTGTTTACATCCCACCGTCAGCTGATGCCGAGTCTGCGAGTGATGCACTTCACTCTACTGTTTCACAGCCTCAAACTAAGCATCCAAATGCTTTTGTAGCCATTACCGGGGACTTTAATCATGTAAAAATGGACAAAACACTTTTCATCAATATGTTAACTGTCCAACTAGAGAAAATAAAACACTGGACCTTCTGTATGCTAACGTTAAGGAAGCATACAGTACCACTGCCCTTCCCCCCCTGGGCAGATCAGACCACAACCTGGTCCTACTGACACCAGAGTATATCCCCCTGGTCCAAAGGCAGCCTGTGACCACAAGGACTGTTAGGAGGTGGACACAGGAGAGCAATGAGGCACTGCAGGACTGCTTTGAGTCCACAGACTGGGATGTACTCTGCGAGCCACATGGAGAGGACATTAACAGCATGACTGACTGCATCACAGAATACATTAAATTCTGTGAAAACACTGCTTCACCGGCCCGGACTGTACGCTGTTTTCCTAACAACAAACCCTGGATCACCAGTGACCTGAAAGCCCTTCTCAACAAAAAGAAACAAGCCTTCAGGTCTGGAAACAGGGAGGAGCTGAAAAGGATACAGCACGATCTGAGGGAAAAGCTGAGGGAGTGTAAGGACTCATACAGGAGAAAGCTTCCATCAGAACAACGTGAGGGATGTGTGGACTGGAATGAGGGAAATCACTGGTTTCAAGGGGAGAGAAAAACAACATTCTGGCAGCCTGGAGAATGAACTAAACCTGTTCTTCAACCGTTTAGTTCACAGCCTTCATCTGCCTCTCCCACCTCAAACAACACCCTGTCCTTCACACCTTCCAGCCTCCCTTTGTATTTTCTTCCTTCCCCCCCAACCCCCATGGTGAACTCTTTGGACTCTGGCCCTGCACCACAGGAGTGCACTTCCCCTCTGAGGTGAATTGCTCCATCCCCCCCCGACTCTAACAACTGGCCAGGTTAAGAGACAGCTGGAGAAACTACACATTAGCAAGGCTCCAGGCCCAGACGGCATCAGCCCAAGGGTTCAGACAGCTGTCTGAGATTCTGCAACACCTTAGAGGATACCGGTGCTGTGGAAAACGACCTGCTTGGTCCGGTCCCAAAGAAGACGACACCATCTGATCTCAAGGACTATCAACCAGTGGCTCTCACATCTCATGTGATGAAAGTGTTGGAGAGGCTCGTCTTGACCACCTCAGGCCGCAGGTGAAACCATCCCTTGACCCTCTACAATTTGCCTACCAGCCACACCTGGGAGTGGACGATGCCATCATCTACCTGCTGCAGCGTGCCCACTCACATCTGGAGGGAAACGGCTGCACTGTGAGAATCACCTTTTTTGATTTCTCCAGTGCATTCAACACCATCCAGCCACAACTGCTGGAAGAGAAGCTGCAGTTGATGGGTGTGGACTCATCCATCATCTCCTGGATTACTGACTACCTGACAGAAAGACCACAGTTTGTCTGACTTGGCAGTGTTCAGTCTGGAATGGTGGAGAGCGGTACAGGAGTTCCACAGGGGACTGTGCTGTCTCCTTTTCTTTTCACCTTGTACACCTCTGACTTTCAGTACAACTCCAGGTCATGCCACTTGCATGTTTAAAGACTGCTACAATTATACCAGTGCCTAAAAAATCCACAATCTCCTCGCTCAATGATTACCGCCCTGTAGCACTAACCCCCATCATGATGAAGTGCTTTGAGAGGCTGGTAAAGGACCACATTGTCTCCAGACTTCCCCCCACATCGACCCGTACCAGCTTGCTTACCGCCCAAACCGCTCCACAGAGGATGCCATCTCCTCTGCACTCCACCTGGGCTTACAACATCTGGAAGAGAAGACACACATGTGCGGATGTTGTTTCTGGACTTCAGCTCAGCATTCAATACAATCATCCCGCAGCATCTGGTGAGCAAACTGGCCCCCCTTGGTTTCAGCACCCCCCTATGTAACTGGCTGCTTAACTTCCTCACAAACAGACCCCAGTCTGTGCGGGTGGGCAACAACACCTCCAGTGTCATCTCCCTGAGTACCGGCTCCCCTCAGGGCTGCGTCCTGAGTCCGCTGCTGTTCACCCTGATGACCCATGACTGCTGCGCCAGTCCACTACTAACCACATCGTGAAGTTTGCAGACGACACAACAGTAGTGGGCCTCATCCGTGACAACAACGACATGGACTACAGAGAGGAGGTGAAACATCTGGTTGACTGGTGCAGAACCAACAACCTGACCCTGAACGTCGATAAAACCAAAGAGATCATCATCGACTTCAGGAGGCGCCAGCCCAGCCACACACCACTCCTCATCAGCGGCACAGCAGTGGAGAGAGTTAGCAGCACAAAGTTCCTGGGGTGCAGATAACAGACACTCTGACCTGGTCCCTTCACACCGCGCTCTTGTGAAAAAAAGCGCAGCAGCGCATGCACTTTCTGCGTCGGATGAAGAGCGCACACCTCCCTCCTCCTATTCTCACCACCTTCTACAGAGGCACTATAGAGAGCATTATAACAAACTGCA